AAAAAAAAAGTATAAAATCAAACTCCAGGCCCATCCGAACGACTTGGCACAAAAACTACTCGACGACGAAGGGGAAATCAGGAGGCTAAACAGATTTAAACCATCAGATTTGCCCACCAGATTCGAATAATACAACACTTAACTGCATATTACTAAGCAGTTAAAATAAGTATTGAGCATGTTCATTGGAATATGCTCACCACGTCAAGTACTCTCTTTCCTTTTGCTATATGTAAATGAACCACAAAATGTACTTATTATCCACATTTAATGGATAGATTGTATAATTATTGGAGTTAGATAAAAAAAAGTCAAGATTGTTATGTCCCGCCCAGGTGTGAACCGGATACCTCCGTAGTAGAAGTCAGCAGTGTCAACCTTTTGAGCTAGCATGCTCAGTTGAAAAGACTGAGTAGATTTTAACATCGAAATGAAGTAAACAATAACAGGATGTGGCACAGAGTGTACATCCATGAGCATGTCTGCAAGACCGCAAATTAACGTCTGAAATTCTACTTTCGTTTGCTGAGACTAGCACGCAAAGCATGCGATAATGTATCTCCATTCGTGTTGCCCTGGGCGAGTTGCAGAAAGGTCACGTTCGCCCACTTCCTAATGCTGTTGGTTGCGGCACGAAAACTGTGACATCAGAAGTGAAATATCGCCCGGTGGTTTGACCCCGAATTCCTACCCTAGTTCTAACATCCCCAAAGTCGAAGTTATCCCTGGGCTTGATTAATCAGGCACTTCGGCACTAGATGGAGGAGAGTGGTCAGCTTCACGCCCCTGTCGCTCTACCCTGTGGGAAACAGGTCCGGTACCCTCTGGACAGGAAGTTGGCCGGACTTCAGAGCCGGTCTGCAGAATTTCTTGCCCCTGCCGGGAATCGAACCCCATATCTTCGTTCGTGAAGCCCGTCGCCTGGTCAATCCCGGCTCCTCAAACGTACGAGGCAGTCAGTAAATAGGTCACAAATGGAAGTAAAACAACTAATTCGTGTAATAGGTTTCCTATGTGCATCACTACGTAGCAGTACAGTCCAACTTCATGACAGTCTAAGGAGCAGTCTTGCATGCGCATGTTCAAAGGCTGTTTCAGTAGTCAAAATGACGACCGTGCTTGAGGAGAATGCTACCGAAAGGCAAATTTCTGTTCCCCGTTTTTGTGGACAGAAGGACTGACTGCAAAGGATATTCATAGAGAAACGTTTCCTGTTTACGGTGGGAAGTGTTTGTCGCGTAAAGCGGTTCATAGCTGGGTCGAGAAATCCTCTCAAGGACGTCCAAAAGTTACAGATGATGCCCGACCTGGTGTGGAACTGGCTCATACAACAGTCAAAAGACTTCTATGCTGCGGGTTTCAACGCACTGGTAAAGCGATTGGACAAGTGTATCAGTGTTGGAGGATATGTCGAGAAATACGTAAATGCTTCTTCCAGGTTCGAATAGCACAAGTTTTACGTTTTATGTCCATTTGTGGACGTATTTACTGACTCTCCCTCCCTCTTACCTACCAGACGAAAGCCGTAACCCAGTATAGTACACATAAAAGCGTAACTTTCGTGTTTCCTCTTCACTACCCCGGACCGAATAGGGAACACCCAAAGATGTTATGAAATTTACAGTATAGTTCTGCCCATACGTGCGGTAAAGTAAAAGATAATAAAAATGAATCACAAATAAAGGTAAATAATAATCAGGTCTTTTAAATCGACGCGGAAATGTTGCGGGGTGGTTTTATGCGATTGGAATCCTCATTCCCAGTTTTATTAAGCGTACTAGAAAACTTCAATTTCATATTGTGAGTGTCATTCCTTCTTCAGAGTTCAGCTGCTGCTGAATTGTGATTCCGGATGGATAATATTAAAATGGATCTTAGAGAGATAGGATGGGGTGGTGTGGACTGGATCAATCTAGCTCAGGATAGGGACCAGTGGAGGGCTCTACTGAACACAGTAATGAACCTTCGGGTTCCATAAAATGCTGGGAAGTTCATGAGTAGCTGCAAAGTAAGTGGCTTCTCAAGAAGGGCTCAGCTCCATGAGTGAGTGAGTGAGTGAGTGAGTGAGTTTAAGGAGTGGTCAAGGCTAATTTTATGGTGCCTTTTCTTAATGTGCGCCACGGAAGCGACTGAAAGTAGTGACAGGTACACGGTCGCTTGGGAAGATTCCAACCGGTTACCCCCCACCAAGCTGTCCATTGAGTGCTGTTCATCATGCGGGATGTCATGTGGCGCTTGCGCACTGCGCTTCATGCCAGCGTGTTAATGAACTGGGAAGTAACATCTTGTTCACAGACAATTGAAATGTCCGTAGTACAGACGTCTTCCCTTGACAGATGTTTTGGAGAAAACCAAGCAACACAGAGTACGCTACTATGCTCTGTCAGAAACATCTCTGATTTTGCGTCATCATGAGACAGTGACGTTCGTTACGTCATACTTAGGAAGTTAAGTATGTTCTATATGCAACTTACGATGGGAATCAAACCGCCATACCGCAAATCCCATTTATCACAGAGAACTTTTCTTTCGTAAGATTACCTACCGAAGGTGTGACATAATCTCAGAGATGTTTTGGACGAAATATATTGTAACCGATTTGATCAACGCATTTCTAGGCAACGGCTCCGCAAACACGATCCAACGTGCAACAATCAAACCTCTGTCTCAGTGGACGAATGTTGCTAGGCAGCAATCAGCACGCCAATGCATTCGCTGAGTATCAGTCACGTGACTTGCGTTTTCTTTGTGGTCCATGTGGACCCTATATAACAAGGATATGTTGTAGCTTAGAGTAATCAGCTTCACGTTTCGGTCGCTTTACCTGCGGGGATAGAGTTTTCGGTACCCATTGGATAGGAGGCTGGGTGGGCGCCAGAGCCAGTCTGGACGACGTGGAGGAGAGAAAATTCTTCACCCTACTGGGACTCGAACTGTCACCCCTCAATCATCCAGCCCGTAGCCAGTCAATATACCGACTGAGCTGTTCCAGCTCCCACACCATCTTACAGTGCATTTTATGGTGTGCTTTAATTTCCTTCCGTCTACGACTAGATCTTCCAAGAGATGTCTAACGTTAGAGTTGTGAATACCTGTACTGTCTGTCCCATGTTCACTGGTTATTACGAGTACAGCTTAAAGAAAGGAAACGTGCCTTCCATACTGTGTGACCACCCAGGTGCCGGGTCAGGGCTGTTGCCCACCACAAGGGCTGGTCGTAGGCGAGCATGGAGCAATGATGGAATTGTGATCAGCAGGGGTAAATAGAAAGCATTCCGAGTAGAACCTGCTTCAATCGCAGTTTCTCCGCCACGAATGTCGTGTGAAGTCGCCCGAGACAACCTGAGACTCCGCGGTGACAATCCAGCGGCTGACCGCCTGAGCCTTGTCACATCCGCAGGTTTAAAGGCTAAACAATAAAGAAAATTGTTCTTGCTGCATTGACGGTTTTCTCCAACTGTTTCTGACGATTGCACATCTGTCGTGCGAAGTCCTAACCCCGCATTGCGTGACAGCGTTTCAGCTCGACTGTAGTGAGGGTTAAGACGGCCGGACAGAAGGCAGGTCATGTAGCTTACGTCGGAGAAATGACGAAAGAAAATGCATGCGAGACTTACATTGTGGTCTTCTTGGGTATAACGCTGTATACTGCAATAGGTGGGTACCAACGTTTCGGAAGAACCTGCTGCGTGCATCTTCAAGCTACCCTGAGCCAGTCATTGTCTAAATCCGAGGCCCTGTGTGACATTTAGTAATGACTTATTCATACCCCTCGTTCTATCCAGAAGCTAGAGGACCACCCGTTGTCGACTGTCTCTGGTTTGTTATTCAGTAGGCAAAACCTATCCAATTTCGTAATTTTGTGATTCGCTGCGAAATAAAGTATGTGCTCCACAGTTCTCCACGTGTGGCTCCATTGTAAAAATTTGTTAGGTTTATCCTGTATTATTTACTGCTATTTTTGTGGGTTATTTAACGATGAATAGTGGGATGACTAATCTGAAGGAAATGGCCGTTGCCTAGTCAAGGTACTATCCCTCTTTTTGTCTTTAGCGTGTGAGGGAAACCACAAAAAGCCTTAATCATAATAGCCGGTACCGCAGCCGAAATTCTAACCAAGCACATAACAAGAAAAGTTGGCAGCTATTATTGTTTGTCTAAATTTGGTTTGAGGGTCCGTCATATATTGAGTAGGAAATCTTACGGAGGAAAAGTCCTCGTGTGTTCAGTGAGATTTCCGGTGTGGCGGTTGTGGTTCCCAATGTGTGCTGAACAGTATATTGATGACGTAGTGGTGACACACCCTTAGAGACGTTTTGGACCCAGTTTACGGTCCATGTGTGGATACTTTCGGTGGCAGGAACCATTGTTCGGCAGCTGTCTGAGTGGCGCCGTTGTGCAGTGTCCAGGAGGTGAGACCAAAACGAGAAGCAACTACTTTCAATAAAACGTTTATTTACAAAGCGTACAGAACCACACGTGATACAGAACTGGAATGTGAGGGTGAGGCGGAAACGAGAAGCAACTACTTTCAATAAAACGTTTATTTACAAAAGCCTACAGAACTGGGAGTGACAGTGAGCGAATGTGAGGGTGAGACGGATGAACTAATAGTGCTTGACGATTCCGCCGTATCCATAGGCAGCCGGTGCGGCGTAACCCACAGGAGCCACGGCTTTGGCGTAGGCAGGAGCTGCATAGGCGACAGGGGCGGCAACTCTGGCGACTGCGGGAGCAGCATACGCAACAGGGGCGGCGATCTTGGCGACCGCGGGGGCGGCGTACGCCACAGGTGCCACTGCCTTAGCGTAGGCAGGAGCTGCATATGCGACAGGAGCGGCTACCTTGGCAACAGCAAGAGCCTCCTTGTGCACGACGGCGTTGAATCCGTTGTGCGGGTCGGCAGTGTACTCGACGGTACGACGGGTGCCGTCAGGCTCCACCAGGCTGTAGCTGCCCTGGACGACGTCTCCGTCGCGGGACTCATGTTGACTCTTGGAGTCGCCCGTCAGATGGTCCTGGATGTCGTAAGCGTAGCTGTACTGGGGATGAGGGTCGTAATCGGTGTCGACAGCCACGGGGGCGGCTACCTTAGCCACGGCGGGAGCGGCGTAAGCTAAAGGTGCAGCTACCTTAGCATAAGCAGGGGCAGCATATGCAGCAGGGGCGGCATAGGCCGCATGGGTGGCGCAGCTCCATGAGGCGGCGTATGCAGGGCCGGCGTATGCAGGGCCGGCGACGATGCCCGCCCTAGCGGCAGCTATGACGGCGGCGGCGAGCACGATAAGCTGGAATCAAGGAGTCCGGATTAGTAACGTTATTTTGCATTGTTAGAGACAGCAGGTTTGTTGCTGAGTGTTTCATATGCCTTGCACTGAACGTGTCTTGAGCTGTTTTACCGGTATCCGACGAATTATGGCGAATTGCCGCTTCCCTGGCCAAACTGTAATTAAAGATATCATCTTATGAGTTGTGACGTGTTCACTCTGGTAGATAGTTATTGACCTTTCAGAAGAACGCAGCACTTCGATCTCCAATCTTCAGTTCTGAAGATGGAAGCAGAACCGTCTTCCGAAACACCAATAACAATCTACTAGGCTTCGCGGCATCACTTTATGTAAGACAGTAATTTTCATTTTACTGATTTTACGATGTCGAATTGTTTAAAACGGATGGGGAACCGCTTTGAAACATGTTGCCCTCTTTTTTTTTTTTGTAATCTCCGTGGTCCATTTAAGGGCCAGCTGCACAGTTTCACTGGTCCACTGTCCGTATTGTCCCAGATGAAGTACCAATCCCAACACTAAATCATCTTCCCGTTGTTGTTTTTTAAATATAGGAACCTGTACATACACAAACGATCACACTAGCCGCGCAGCCTACGCCATTAACTGTCTTTGCTCGCTCGAACACTGAGGTCGTTGGTTCGAATCCCACTCAAGGCATGGATATTTGTATATGCGTTTATTCTGTGTGTATCTAGCGGCCTTGCGACAAGGCGCCATATCGAGTGCGTATACTATTAAGAAACTGAAAAGGCGGCCAAGGTCCAACGAAGGGCTGTAGAGCCATAGATATATACACACATACCACACTTCATGGTGAAGACGGAGGCAACATGCGTCTCTGAAACGTCCGCAATATCGCTCACACGGTGTAACAATCCGAGAACATAATTTATTTCACTAATTTTAGAGCCTCCTGCGTGAGGGCTTCAGGTCTCCATAGACCAGCAACTTCGTGGGGCGAAATAGCGCCACAGAGGGTGTTAAACTGTACCGTTGCCGGAGTGTGGCCCTTTGGCTTCGGACGAATACTTCCTCAGTTCTGTAGCCCTGCAACACGCGGTCCTCGTGGAACCCAGCAACTATTGCGACTTATGAATCATGTGCTTACCTCAGTTCCTCGAAGTCTATTCTGACATAGTTCCTAGAATTTGACCCGTCTTTTTCTCTCCACGTCCATTCCAATTCATTACTGACTTCTCATCCTACCATTCCACGTTATATAATCTGTGCAACTGACCAGCATCATTAAATTATCTCTAAATAAGTAGGAACATACTGTCGCAATTTTACTGACTCTAGACGGGGTTTCGGGTTGATAATCGGATTTATTTGACTCTTTGATACTCGTACAGCTCTTGAGTCCATTTCACACAACCGCAGTGGTCTAAGTCAGCTAACTGGCCCTGCTTATAACATCTCGGCACGGGCCGCGTAGGAAACACCGTTCCTCCGTTGCAGTGCAATTGTTGTGTTCGTATCTGTTAGGGTGACCACGTAATCGCTCCTGAGCCATTGCGTAACAACGGCCGTTGGTTGCAGAGACATTACTTAGCAACGGTTGTTCTATAGTTGCTTATTTCGCCGTCGTTTCCTAGCAACGGGTCTACATGCCACATTATGTTCACAAATAATAAAATTTGGCTCGCTCTGTCTGCCTACTTATTAGCACCATATTTTTCATATTGTCACGGTTTAGAGTGACTATAGACGGGGTTTGGATTGGTGAATAACTATAAGACGATCGCTATTTCCACGCTTTACAGTTCACTAGAGGACACAGTCTATTGTTCTGAGTCTGTTACTAGACGTTTCCTGATAACGGCTCCAACAATGGTTATTCCTCTGCCTCCAGCTCAAGCCCTCTCTTCACAGGCTCGCGTACAGAACTGACTAAGCTCTAAACCTCGTCTCGCTTAAAACATCGGTGCGGACCACATAGAAAACACATCTCTTAAATGTTGTAATCCAACTATCGCATTATTAAGAATCTGCTGCCTAGCAACGGGAACGTGTTTACCGAGCCGTTGCCCAGAAATGGCCCTGGTATATCCGCCCATCTCGCTACAATATATTCCAATGAATTCCGTCTTATATTTATGAGGTACTCTTATCATATAAACAGCTACCTCGCTTCTGTGTTTCTCGTCCGTCTCACTGGACTGCAAGACCTCAGTTGATTGACCATCGTTAAACAAGCTACAAACAAAGCACAAGCTGCCAAATACACACACTATCACAGAGTTGAATATGACATTCTCAGAGTACAGGCTTGCGGGTTGTGGCGCCGTGTAGAAGCATTCTGTCTTTTTGGTAGTTGCTCCCAGACTTACTTTTCGATTGTCAACATAAGAGCGATATGTGTCTCCGAAACGTCTGTAGACTTGTACCGAAATGTGCGGCGTTACAACCCGTAAGAACGTACTCTTCTGTGTCTCTGTGACTCACGTACCTTGAAGGCCATTGTTGCCGATGTGTCGCAGCCTCTCCGCTGCACTCAGTTTATATACTTGTCCACTGTGATGTAAGGGGCTTATCCCGCTCGGTGTGACGTCCTTTCACTTGCGCCGCCACCACACCTTGACCATAATGTTCCCCCCCGGGCCCCTAGACAATAATTCGGTTGGAATCTAATTCCTGTGAGTCATGGCGCAACGAGCGGAGAAAGTCTTGCAGTGCAGCAAGTACCTCCGCCATTAATTGGGCCGATTAATTCCTTAATCGCCGGTTAGTCGCTTTTCCAGTATATTGCTTTTTCCGTTCACTAAACAGCAGAGAAATGAAACTGCGGTTAACGAAAGGCAGATTGGATTTGAGGTTCTCTCAGCGATAACTGTGAAGATTTTGATCTTCTGCGATGTAACACCATTTAGTCCCGCAAGTCGCCTACGTTTCGAAGGAACAAGCTACATACATCTACAGAGTTGAAAAATAAAATCAAGCAAATAATTAGTGTTTATTTATTTTGCTTGCTCTTTGGCTTTGAATACAGATTCAGTATGTTACTCCGAAACGCCAGTGAACTATCTAACTACACGGCGTCACATTAACTCTCTCGTAGCAGACTTATCTTATTTTCTCCACCCGCCTGGTACTTAAATTATATATCTTCTGAAAATGAACGTGAGAATAAAGACGGCTACTGAGGAAAACCATGTATGATATGACAAGAAGGTATTGAAGTCTCATTAGTTATGCGTTGAGACTGGCATACAACCCTTTAAAGCACGTCAGTTACTATATTTACCACGTCCTTTAACACACCAATATTCTGAATTCTGTATCTGTGTTCCACACGGTTCTCACATAAAACGTCGATTGTTTCCCTAAACAGCAGTAGCAGGTTTCCTGTTGCATACGGACTGAATGTTCAGATATTATTTAGGTGAACTTGAGGCTTAAATTTCATGTAGAGCAGAAGGCCTTGCACAATAGAAAGTGATATTTTTCAAGTTCAGCCTGACCTACATCTTGGCTTCTGCAATCCTTGACAAGGACAAGCAAGACATTGACAGCAGGTTCCACTGATGTTACTTTCACGGCTCCTGTTCACTCAGAGCTCTCTCAGTTTCTTCACAAGGTTCCCACAGATTCTCTGCACATCCCTTTATCATTGTCACTACGAAATTCGGGATTACTATAGCAACGAATTATCGAGCGTTGGCATCGTTCGTATGGTATGTTGCGAACAAGCAAGCAATCCTTTGTTTCAGTGTTTCGTATCTATTATGTGAATATTGATAATGTTTTGATGCGGTTAGGGGGCACGCGGTAGCGTGGTTGGTTGAGGCACTGTGCTAGAAGCCTGAAGGTCGCGGGTTCGAGTCCCGATGAGGTGGAATTTTCAGTTTACCTAATGCTTCCAGCCGCACTATGGCCCTTGGGTCGACTCAGCCTCTAACAGAAATCAGTACCAGGATTCATCCTACTGTGAGGGGGTAAAGGGCGGCCGGCGCGTAAGTTTGACAGCCTTACCGCCATCTGTGTGCATAATGTCTAAAGAAAATGTGGGAGGCTCTACGTCTCACAACCCTGTTGGTCTTCGCGGCCTGTTACAGGGATAACCTTACCTTACCTTCTTTTGATGTGGATATATGAACTGTAAAATAATATAACGAGATGTTCTGGGAAGAACTAAGCGTCTGCTTTCCTTTGATACTACACGGATCCCTATAGAAAATGAAAACAGAAATGTTCGGTTATACACAGACGCACAAACAGCAAGGCGATAACATGTAGGACTGGAAAGGAATATGGGAGAAAGCATGGGAAGGTAATAATACGAAATCCCGTATAACCAATGATGGGGCTTCGTAGTGGATTCTCAGCGGCTGTTACAATGAAAATTAACAGTTTCACAATTTAATTCTGTGTAGTTCACTTTAGTACAGACACTGGCTGTGTTAATTTATCAGTTGTAGCTCTGGTTTTCACGCAGTCGACATGTTTGCAGACAGCAGTGTTTCCTGTGTGTCCGTGCAACATCTGACGTCCAAACATCGGAGTTCACTCCAGCTTCGTGGAACCGAGTCCTTCTTCAGAAGCCGCCAGTCTCTCCACCACTCAAGAATTTCCAAACATTTTATGGAATCACAAGGTTCATTACCGTGTTCACGGGGGCCCGCCACTGGACCATATCCTGAGCCATATCCCTCATTCTGTTCTACGTATTAGGGCTCTGAAGCCCTCTGTTGGGCCTTGGCCGCTTTTTCAGTTTCTTAGTCTATACACAGTCGGTAGGACTCCTTGGAAGAGTGATCAGCCCAACAGCAGGGCAACACAGACAAACATCCATGCCTTGAGTTGGATTCGAACCCACGATCCCAGTGTTCGAGAGGGCGGAGATATTTTATGCTTTAGACCTCGCTGCCACTGGGATCGGCTCACGTCCTCATATCCCACAAGTTTATTCGTTTCAAAATTAGCCTCTCTTCTATACCTAGATTTTCCAAAAGTCATCGTCCTTTAAGGTTTTCCGATAAACATTTTATGATCTCTCCAATGCATTCTGCATTCTCAAACTATTCCATCGTCTTTGACTTCATGATCGTAATGATATCTTCAGCGCCTTGTTCTCTACATCTTTCCCTTGTGTGAGTAACCAGGTTTCCCACTCGTAATATAAAACTCCACAGTTTCGTTTCCCTTCAGTGCAATCTGCACGAGGGACTTGTGGCCGGTGGGAGGAAGCTTCCGGGATTCCTCATATGCAGCTGTGATCAAGCCATGTCTTTCGTATTGAAGTAATCTTTGGAAATGATGCAGTAGCATGAAATATCCAAACGGGTTGCTATAGCGGTAACGATCTACATGCAAGGGGGCGAGAGTTACTTGGTTCGAATCTCGAATGCGACACCGGCTATCCTGATTGACTGTTTTCGTAGTTGTCCTCAGTTTCTCCAGGCGAATGGCGGAATGTTGCATTGATTAGGCCGGAGTAACACCTAACAGCGTCGTTAAATAAACAACAGTTAAGCAATTTAACGTAGCTGCATTTCGGGCTGACACAGAAAAGCATTTAGAAAACCGTGCACGAACAATACACACAGCGAGTTGCTATCATGGCGGGGCGCACGGTCTGTAATTGAGCTGCCCCAGATGTGGCCCGCACTTGCAGACCCCGAGGCTGCTGTTGCTCCACGCGCCTCACAGCAAATGAGAGCTGTATCGCAATTGTCGGCCACATCATGTAACATTTCACTGCCGCTGCAGTTCCAAGTGGCTGATGTAGTAGTCTTCAGGGTAGAAGACTTTCCTCCGGAACCTCGGTAAGCATCTACCAAACTACACGGCGCCTTAACCCGGAACATGAGTCTTTGCCGCTTGTAAGAGTCTCTTAACTTGAGTTTCTTATGGTGACGACTATGAATAATTCTGTAGTCTGGCATGCGACATCCTTGGTAGACGTAACGTTTCGGAGGAAGTTGCTGCCTCAATCTTCAAGGTAGAAAAGGAAGTCCTCGTTTAACGGATGATCCGAATTAATGAAACAAGATATATCCCTTAAAGGAAAAAGCTTAGAAAACAAATAAATATAATTTGAATTGTTTCATATTTGGTCCGTTACACTATCATTCACAAATTGTCAATGAATAATCCGTCGAGTGTAACAACGTTCTTAGGTCACTTATTTATTTCACTCGCCTTACATGTTTCGGTTCAAAAGAAACCATCATCAGAGGCACGTTACAAACACATGAAACCACTGGCGTTGTATTGTACACAGTATGTAAGCTGCGTGATCTGCTACAGATCTG